AACACCCGATAACATACGCACTATACACACACGTACACATGGATTCTGTGTTGTAGATATGTGGTAGTAGAGTAGTGGCCTCAGGGCACACACTTAGTGTGCTGTGAAATCTGTTGTGAATGTATTGTAATGTTTTTAAAATTGTATAACTGCCTTCATTTTGACGGACCCCAGGAAAAGTAGCTGCTGCCTTGGCAGGAACTAATGGGGATCCATAATAAATAAATAAATAAAAAATAAAAATTGTTGGCAAACACCCCATCCCTCTGATGACCCCTCTGAGATCCACCCCGAAATTTTTTATTAACACCTCTCCTCTTCCCTCATCCCCCACCTACAGCCATCTAACTTGTCAGAGACACAGACAGGAGGAAGGGCTTCAAACCAATAGGAGGAGCGTCAGACCATGGGAGGCGGGGCTTCAACCCAAAGTAATAATAATAATAATATAATAATAATATGCCATTTAGCAGACGCTTTTATCCAAAGCGACTTACAGTCATGTGTGCATACATTTTTACGTATGGACAATGACTTACTGATTTATTTTTTTATTTTTTGTGCAACTGCTGGTACTCTCACAATGATCTAATCAGTGGTTCCTTTTTGTATTAGCGGTAAAGAATTAGATTAAATGATTTACCACTATGAAATCTTTGGTCAGTTGTTCAGGACACTCTGTAGCCGCTCTTCAATCAATAGTAGTTACAGTATGTATCTAGCTCCCCTGTCAGTGTGTAGTCAAGTCGATCTGTATGCAGCCAGATAGATAAAGCTGATCTGAGCTCAGTGTCAGTGTGTAGTCAAGTCGATCTGTATGCAGCCAGATAGATAAAGCTGATCTGAGCTCAGTGTCAGTGTGTAGTCAAGTCAATCTCTCTCATTCTCTCTCTCTCAATTCAATTTCAATTTCAATTCAATGGGCTTTATCGGCAAAATGTATGCACGAATGACTGTAAGTCGCTTCGGATAAAAGCGTCTGCTAAATGGCATATTTTTTATTTTTTATTTTTATTAAATAACACATATGGAGTCATGTAGTAACCAAAGAAGTGTTAAACAAATCAAAATATATTTTATATTTGAGATTCTTCAATTAGCCACCCTTGATGACAGCTTTGCACACTCTTTGCGTTCTCTCAACCAGCTTCATGAGGTAGTCACCTGGAATGCACTTCAATTAACAGGTGTGCCTTGTTAAAAGTTAATTTGTGGAATTTCTTTCCTTCTTAATGCTTTAGCCAATCAGTTGTGTTGTGACAAGGTAAGGGGGGTATACAGAAGCCCTATTTGGTAAAAGACCAAGTCCATATTATGGCAGGAACAGCTCAAATCAGCAAAGAGAAATGACAGTCCATCATTACTTTAAGACATGATGGTCAGTCAATAAGGAACATTTCAAGAAGTTTGAACGTTTCTTCAAGTGCAGTCGCAAAAACCATCAAGCGCTACTCTTCCTAGGATTTATTATGGATCCCCATTAGTTCCTGCCAAGGCAGCAGCTACTCTTCCTGGGGTTTATTATTAAATTTCACAACAGATTTCACAACACATTAAGTGTGTGCCCTGAGGCCACTACTCTATTACCACATATCTACAACACAAAATCCATGTGTACATGTGTGTATAGTGCGTATGCTATCGTGTGTTTGTATGCATGTGTCTATGTGTGTGTCTCTTCACAGTCCCCGCTGTTCCATAAGGTGTATTTTTATCTGTTTTTAAATCTGATTTTACTGCTTGCATCAGGTACTTGATGTGGAATAGAGTTCCATGTAGTCATGGCTCTGTGTAGTACTGTGCGTCTCTCATAGTCTGTTCTGGACTTGGGGACTGTGAGGAGACCCATGGTGGCATGTCTTGTGGGGTATGCATGGGTGCTAGTAGTTTAATCAGACACCTCGGTGCATTCAGCTTGTCAACGCTTCTTACAAAAACAAGTTGTGATGAAGTCAATCTCTCCTCTACTTTGAGCCAGGAGAGACTGACATGCATATTATAAATGTTAGCTCTCCATGTACAGTTAAGGGCCAACCGTGCTGCCCTGTTCTGAGCCAATTGTAATTTTCCTAAGTCCCTCTTTGTGGCACCTGACCACACGACTGAACAGTAGTCCAGGTGCAACAAAACTAGGGCCTGTAGGACCTGCCTTGTTGATGGTGCTGTTAAGAAGGCAGAGCAGCGCTTTATTATAGACAGACTTCTCCCCATCCTAGCTACTGTTGTATCAATATGTTTTGGCCATGACAGTTTACAATCCAGGGTTACTCCAAGCAGCTTAGTCTCCTCAACTTGCTCAATTTCCACATTATTCAGTACAAGATTTAGTTGAGGTTTAGGGTTAAGTAAATGATTTGTCCCAAATACAATGCTTTTAGTTTTTGAAATATTTAGGACTAATTTTTTGTCACCCCATTCTGAAACTAACTGCAGCTCTTTGTTAAGTGTTGCAGTGATTTAACTTGCTGATGTGTATAGTGTTGAGTCTTCTGCATACATAGACACTCTGGCTTTACTTAAAGCCAGTGGCATGTCATTAGTAAAGATTGAAAAAGGTAAGGGGCCTAGACATTTGCCCTGGGGAATGCCCCTCTGTGTTCTGTTAGACAGGCAACTCTCAATCCACAATATAGCAGGGGGTGTAAAGCCATAACACAAGTTTTTCCAGCAGCAGATTATGATCGATAATGTCAAAAGCTGAACTGAAGTCTAACAAAACGGCTCCCACAATATTTTTATTATCAATTTCTCTCAGCCAATCAGTAATTTGTATAAGTGCCATTCATGTTGAATGCCCTTCCCCATAATTGTTCTGAAAATCTGTTGTTATTTTGTTTACTGTCAAATAACATTTTATCTGGTCAAACACAATTTTACTAAGGGTTGGTAACAGGCTGATTGAGCCAGTAAAGGGTTCTTTGCTATTATAATAATATGCCATTTAGCAGACGCTTTTATCCAAAGCGACTTACAGTCACGCGTGCATACATTTTTTTTTTTGGTGTATGGGTGGTCCCGGGGATCGAACCCACTGCCTTGGCATTACAAGCACCGTGCTCTACCAGCTGAGCTACAGAGGACCACAGTGATTCTTGGGTAGCGGAATGTAGGTTCAAAATGTGTTGTTGTCGTGTGTGTGTGTGTGTGTGTGTGTGTGTGTGTGTGTGTGTGTGTGTGTGTGTGTGTGTATTTTATCATGATTCATGCTGATATGTATTATTTATTATGTTAAGAGATTTTACTTACATGAGAGGACTACAACTAATAACATTATAATAACATTGTGACAATGATAACTGATATAAAATAAAATAAATACATGAAAACAAAAAGCAGAAATATGAGACCTTTATTTTTCTAAACAAGACGATGGTTATTATTATTATATTATACCAAATATATGCCTTCAGAAAGTATTCACACCCCTTGCCTTTTGAGATGTTGTGTCACACAATGCCCCATGTCTGTTTTTTGACATGTTTACAAATTAATAAAAAATGAAAAGCTGAAACGTCTTGAGTCAGTAAGTATTCAACCCCTTTGTTATGGCAAGCCGAAATAAGTTCAGGAGTAAATATTTGCTTAACAGGTCACATAAGTTGCAATGACTCACACTGTGTTTAATAATAGTGTTTTTAAAAACGCAGACATTGAATATCCCTTTGAGCATGGTGAAGTTATTAATTACACTTTGGATGGTGTATCAATACACAGAGTCACTACAAAGATACAGACGTCCTTCCTAACTCAATTGCCTGAGAGGAAGGAAACCGCTCAGGGATTTCACCATGAGGCTAATGGTGACTTTAAAACAGTTACAGAGTTGAATGGCTGTGATAGGAGAAAACTGAGGCTGGATCAACAACATTGTAGTTACTCCACAATACTAATCTAAATGACAGAGTGAAAAGAAGGAAGCCTGTACAGAATACAAGTACTCCAAAACATGCATCCTGTTTGCAAGAAGGCACTAATGTAAAACTGCAAAAAAAAATTGGCAAAGAAATTAACTTTATGTCCTGAATAAAAAGTGTTATGTTTGGGGCAAATCCAACACAACACATCACTGAGTGCCACTTTTCATATTTTCAAGCATGGTGGTGGCTGCATCATGTTATGGGTGTGCTTGTCATCGGCAAGGACTAGGGAGTTTTTTAGGATTAAAGAAACGGAATAGAGCTATAAGCACAGGCAAAATCCTAGAGGAAAACCTGGTTCAGTCTGCTTTCCACCAGACACTGGGAGACTGGTTCAGTCTGCTTTCCACCAGACACTGGGAGACTGGTTCAGTCTGCTTTCCACCAGACACTGGGAGACTGGTTCAGTCTGCTTTCCACCAGACACTGGGAGACTGGTTCAGTCTGCTTTCCACCAGACACTGGGAGACTGGCTCAGTCTGCTTTCCACCAGACACTGGGAGACTGGCTCAGTCTGCTTTCCACCAGACACTGGGAGATGAATTTACCTTTCAGCAGGAAAAATAACCTATAACACAAGACCAAATATACACTGGAGTTGCTTACCAAGACGACATTGAATGTTCCTGAGTGGCTTGGTTACAGTTTTGACTTAAATTAGCTTGACAATCTATGGCAAGACATGAAAATGGCTGTCTAGCAACTTGACAGAGCTTGATGAATTTGAAACAGAATGATGTGCAAATATTGCACAATCCAGGTGCGCAAAGAGCTCTTAGAGACTTACCCAGAAAGACTCAGAGCTGTGATTGGCTGCCAAAAGATGATTCTAACATGTATTCACTCATACTTATGTAAATGAGATATTTCTGTATTTCATTTTCAATAAATATGCAAACATTTCAACCCATTTTGAATTCAGGCTGTAACACAACAAAATGGGGAATAAGTCAATGGGTGTGAATATTTTCTGAAGGCACTGCATTTTTTTTTTAAAGCTAATTTCCCCATGGCATCATCATTATGCTGAGAGTGGAGGGGAGAGTCTTCTGGCAGGTGATCTTCCTCTCTCGGTTACAGCTGTTACAGCTTAAAGAAGGCGTCTGCTTTTCCAGCCTCCACCGCCTCATAAAACACAGAGAAGTCCTGCAGAGAGACAGAGGGGTGGGGGGAGCGATGAGAGTTGGGGAGAGAGGGGGCAGAGAGAGCGATGAGAGTTGGGGGAGAGAGGGGGCAGAGAGAGCGATGAGAGTTGGGGGAGAGAGCGATGAGAGTTGGGGGAGAGAGCGATGAGAGATGGGGGAGAGAGCGATGAGAGATGGGGGAGAGAGAGCAATGAGAGTTGGGGAGAGAGGGGGGAGAGAGAGCGATGAGAGATGGGGGAGAGAGGGGGCAGAGAGAGCGATGAGAGTTGGGGGAGAGAGCGATGAGAGATGGGGGAGAGAGGGGGAGGGAGAGCGATGAGAGAGGAGAAAAACAACAATTGGATAGGGAGGGAGAGCGCGAGAGCTGTGTTTGTGGATGCAGTGTGTTCCACTAATTCTGAGTAATACTGATGCAAATAGATGGAAATGGGAGTGGACAGATGAACGAACACAACGCTTTAAACACAATAACAGACAGACCGGATCAGCAATGATACACACCCAACAACAACATGGAACAGTATTTGTCTACATTCAGAGGTTGTTAAAGGGCAGGACAAGACAGTGGCGTACTGCAGTTTTGTGGGTCCCCCCCCCCCCCCCCCCCGCCGCAAAGTCTGCGCAAGCTAATTTCCTGCTATTCTATACATTTTGCCATGTGGCTGAGAAAGAATTGTGCAGTTTTACAGCAAATTTTCTGTCATTCTAAACATGTTTGCCATGGCTTAGGACGTGTTCATTTGCTATCTGGGGAGGGGGGACCCCCAGTGTCCGTACCCCCCCCCCCCCCCCCCCCCCCTCCGCCTTCCCGGGGCTGCAGGTGTGTGTGGTACGCCAGTGGCCGGACAGTCGGGGCTGCAGGTGTGTGTGGTACGCCAGTGGCCAGACAGTCGGGGCTGCAGGTGTGTGTGGTACGCCAGTGGCCGGACAGTCGGGGCTGCAGGTGTGTGTGGTACGCCAGTGGCCGGACAGTCGGGGCTGCAGGTGTGTGTGGTACGCCAGTGGCCGGACAGTCGGGGCTGCAGGTGTTTGTGGTACGCCAGTGACCGGACAGTCGGGGCTGCAGGTGTGTGTGGTACGCCAGTGGCCAGACAGTCGGGGCTGCAGGTGTGTGTGGTACGCCAGTGGCCAGACAGTCGGGGCTGCAGGTGTGTGTGGTACGCCAGTGGCCAGACAGTCGGGGCTGCAGGTGTGTGTGGTACGCCAGTGGCCAGACAGTCGGGGCTGCAGGTGTGTGTGGTACGCCAGTGGCCAGACAGTCGGGGCTGCAGGTGTGTGTGGTACGCCAGTGGCCAGACAGTCCGCCCCAACAGGAAGGATGTTTGCCGTACTGTGTTCACATGAATGTTTTAAAGTGGCCGTGACTCGCCCTGCTGTGGTGAAATTCCAGCACCGCTTGGAGGAGAATTACTAGTGTGTGTGTCTGTGTGTGTGTGTGTGTGTGTGTGTGTGTGTGTGTGTGTGTGTGTGTGTGTGTGTGTGTGTATTGACTTATAGCTATGGGCGTTGTGCAGCCTAAGTAATTATTTGATCGTTGGTCCACACCCTCTGGCCCTTCCCTAAACAGTCTGCATTCCAAATGGCAGCCTATAGTCCCCGGTCAAAAGTAGTGCGCTATAGAGGGAATAGATGCAACCAGTCAGACAGGAGAACCAGGATGTCACACTGCAGGCTGGGCATGACGTTCAGCCTTTTGTTCCAGGCCGACACTTATACATCTGATTCAAATGCTTAAGGTCTACACTGAAGACCATGATCAGCTGATTACATTGAAAAGGATGTTTCAGTACACCCAGTATCTCTCCAGCACCAGAGAAGCTAGGTCTGCTCCCAGTATCTCTCCAGGACCAGAGAAGCTAGGTCTGCTCCCAGTATCTCTCCAGCACCAGAGAAGCTAGGTCTGCTCCCAGTATCTCTCCAGCACCAGAGAAGCTAGGTCTGCTCCCAGTTTCTCTCCAGGACCAGAAAATCTAGGTCTGCTCCCAGTATCTCTCCAGGACCAGAGAAGCTAGGTCTGCTCCCAGTTTCTCTCCAGGACCAGAAAAGCTAGGTCTGCTCCCAGTATCTCTCCAGGACCAGAGAAGCTAGGTCTGCTACCAGTATCTCTCCAGCACCAGAGAAGCTAGGTCTGCTCCCAGTTTCTCTCCAGGACCAGAAAAGCTAGGTCTGCTCCCAGTATCTCTCCAGGACCAGAGAAGCTAGGTCTGCTCCCAGTATCTCTCCAGCACCAGAGAAGCTAGGTCTGCTCCCAGTTTCTCTCCAGGACCAGAGAAGCTAGGTCTGCTACCAGTATCTCTCCAGGACCAGAGAAGCTAGGTCTGCTCCCAGTATCTCTCCAGGACCAGAGAAGCTAGGTCTGCTACCAGTTTCTCTCCAGGACCAGAGAAGCTAGGTCTGCTACCAGTATCTCTCCAGGACCAGAGAAGCTAGGTCTGCTCCCAGTATCTCTCCAGGACCAGAGAAGCTAGGTCTGCTACCAGTTTCTCTCCAGGACCAGAGAAGCTAGGTCTGCTCCCAGTATCTCTCCAGGACCAGAGAAGCTAGGTCTGCTCCCAGTATCTCTCCAGCACCAGAGAAGCTAGGTCTGCTCCCAGTATCTCTCCAGCACCAGAGAAGCTAGGTCTGCTCCCAGTATCTCTCCAGGACCAGAGAAGCTAGGTCTGCTCCCAGTATCTCTCCAGGACCAGAGAAGCTAGGTCTGCTCCTAGTATCTCTCCAGGACCAGAGAAGCTAGGTCTGCTCCCAGTATCTCTCCAGGACCAGAGAAGCTAGGTCTGCTCCCAGTATCTCTCCAGGACCAGAGAAGCTAGGTCTGCTCCTAGTATCTCTCCAGGACCAGAGAAGCTAGGTCTGCTCCCAGTATCTCTCCAGGACCAGAGACGCTAGGTCTGCTCCCAGTATCTCTCCAGGACCAGAGAAGCTAGGACTGCGTCCCCAATGGCAGCCTACTCCTTATAAATGTGCTATTGACCAGGGCCCACACATACACAATAGGCCCCCTGGTCAAAGGTAGTGGACTATATAGGGAACAGGGTGCTGTTTAGGACGCTGCCCTGGTCTTGTGCTAGCTGGTATTAGACTCACCCCGCAGTAGACGTCCCTGTTGAAGACCTGTGGAGGCAGAGCAGTAGGGTTTCCTGTCTTCTTCCTCATCTCCTCTTTGACCTCTGACCCCTGGGTGATGTCCACCGCCTGGTACTTGATCTTCTTAGAGTCCAGGAAGGAGAAGATCTGGCTCTGCTGCTGCTTCAGCTGACGGAAGGGAACAATGCAAATAATTAAAGAACGATAGTAATACTTAGAATATTTTGTAATATGAATCGTTTATTTCTTAACACCGCCATCACACATTATGTCTGCTTCCCAAATGGCACCCTTTTCCCTATATAGTGCACTACTGTTGACCAGGGCCCATAAGGGGGGAATCAGAATATAGAAGGATATAGTAAAAATGGAATGATCTATACTGTTGTGGAACAGTATCATTTAATAATCTAATGATTAGAGAGGAAGTGGTTCAGTATAATTTAATAATCTAATGATTAGAGAGGAAGTGGTTCAGTATAATTTAATAATCTAATGATTAGAGAGGAAGTGGTTCAGTATAATTTAATAATCTAATGATTAGAGAGGAAGTGGTTCAGTATAATTTAATATTCTAATGATTAGAGAGGAAGTGGTTCAGTATAACGTAATATTCTAATGATTAGAGAGGAAGTGGTTCAGTATAATTTAATAATCTAATGATTAGAGAGGAAGTGGTTCAGTATAATTTAATATTCTAATGATTAGAGAGGAAGTGGTTCAGTATAACGTAATATTCTAATGATTAGAGAGGAAGTGGTTCAGTATAATTTAATAATCTAATGATTAGAGAGGAAGTGGTTCAGTATAATCTAATGATTAGAGAGGAAGTGGTTCAGTATAATTTAATAATCTAATGATTAGAGAGGAAGTGGTTCAGTATAATTTAATAATCTAATGATTGGAGAGGAAGTGGTTCAGTATAATTTAATAATCTAATGATTAGAGAGGAAGTGGTTCAGTATAATTTAATAATCTAATGATTAGAGAGGAAGTGGTTCAGTATAATTTAATAATCTAATGATTAGAGAGGAAGTGGTTCAGTATAATCTAATGATTAGAGAGGAAGTGGTTCAGTATAACTTAATAATCTAATGATTAGAGAGGAAGTGGTTCAGTATAATTTAATAATCTAATGATTGGAGAGGAAGTGGTTCAGTATAATTTAATAATCTAATGATTAGAGAGGAAGTGGTTCAGTATAATTTAATAATCTAATGATTAGAGAGGAAGTGGTTCAGTATAATTTAATAATCTAATGATTAGAGAGGAAGTGGTTCAGTATAATCTAATGATTAGAGAGGAAGTGGTTCAGTATAATTTAATAATCTAATGATTAGAGAGGAAGTGGTTCAGTATAATCTAATGATTAGAGAGGAAGTGGTTCAGTATAATTTAATATTCTAATGATTAGAGAGGAAGTGGTTCAGTATAACTTAATATTCTAATGATTAGAGAGGAAGTGGTTCAGTTTAATTTAATATTCTAATGATTAGAGAGGAAGTGGTTCAGTATAATTTAATAATCTAATGATTAGAGAGGAAGTGGTTCAGTATAACTTAATATTCTAATGATTAGAGAGGAAGTGGTTCAGTTTAATTTAATATTCTAATGATTAGAGAGGAAGTGGTTCAGTTTAATTTAATATTCTAATGATTAGAGAGGAAGTGGTTCAGTATATGAGACAGGAAGAGCCCCACCATATTCATAGCAGAGCTCGCGGTCAGTGACTATCAATGTCTCAGATTGCTAGTTCTGATCTTGGATCTGTCCATGTAATCTTATTAATTGTGATGTAAAAGCCACAGGTGATCCTAGATCAGCACTCTTACTCTGAGAGGCTTGATAGCATGCATACGGCTGGTTCCGTGGTCCACTGAAAACTAAGCCTAAGTAATGAAAACTGTCAGCCTGACCGTGGGCAGGCTGAGTGTGGAGTGGCCTGACCGAGGCAGGCTGAGTGTGGAGTGGCCTGACCGAGGCAGGCTGAGTGTGGAGTGGCCTGACCGAGGCAGGCTGAGTGTGGAGTGGCCTGACCGTGGGCAGGCTGAGTGTGGAGTGGCCTGACCGAGGCAGGCTGAGTGTGGAGTGGCCTGACCGAGGCAGGCTGAGTGTGGAGTGGCCTGACCGAGGCAGGCTGAGTGTGGAGTGGCCTGACCGAGGCAGGCTGAGTGTGGAGTGGCCTGACCGAGGCAGGCTGAGTGTGGAGTGGCCTGACCGAGGCAGGCTGAGTGTGGAGTGGCCTGACCGAGGCAGGCTGAGTGTGGAGTGGCCTGACCGAGGCAGGCTGAGTGTGGAGTGGCCTGACCGAGGCAGGCTGAGTGTGGAGTGGTGTGGTAGGTGGTGTGGTAGATGCAGCCAGGTAAACATTTACATTTTTACATTTGAGTTATTTAGCAGATGCTCTTACCCAGAGCGACTTACAGTTGGTGCATTCATGTTAAGGTAGCTAGGTACGACAAGCACAAGTCACATTCACAGTCAGTACAACGCTCCTCGATAAAGCAGCTATCAGCAAAGTCAGTGCTGGTCAGAAAAGTGCAAGTGTTAGAACAAGAAAGGTAAGTATAATCAGTTTGACATCTTCTTCCTTATATCACTCTGGTAAAGAGACAGAGTGGTAAGGTAGGAGCGCCCGGGTAAATGAATGAGACAGGTGAGAACACCTACCTCTCTGGAACCGCTCACACTGCTGAAATACACGGAGATAGACATGATACCTTATGATATATGCCGTTACAAAGAATCAATACGATATAATCCAGTTGTGTTTTGTGTTCCAGTGGTATGTTGTTCCTTAGAAAAGCTCTCTGTGTGTGTGAAGAGTGTAATGTAGTGTAGACTGCTTCAAGGTGTTGCAGCAGACAAGGTGAGCAGGTTTAGACATGACTTACCTGTTGGCCACACCCTCGGACTGCGACCACTCCTGTTGTGTCTATTTCTTGCTATTGCCACACACAAACACAGAGAGAGAGAGAGAAGAGGAGAGAGCGGAGAGAAGAGAGGAGAGAGAGAGAGAGATAGAGAGAGAGAGATACAGAGAGATCTAGAAGACTACGCTCTAGAGTCCGCCGAGCTCTCCTTAGAGCTAGAGAGAGGCTAGACTACTTCGCTCTCTCTCTCTCTCGCCTCTCTCTCTCTCATCTACTCAGATCGCGCTCTCTCTCTCTCTCTCGCTATGCTCTATCCGCTAGAGAGAGACACACACCATGGAGGACCTCAGAGAATGTTTGGCTTAGGTCTGAAGAGGTGCAGAAGGTTTATACAGTGTCTTCAGAAAGCACCCTTTGACTTTTTCCACATTTTGTTGTGTTACAGACTGAATTTAAAATTGATTAAATTTAGATTTTTTTTTGTCTCTAGCCTACACACAATACCCCATAATGTCAAAGTGGAATTATGTTTTTAGACATTTGTATAAATGAATTTAAAATGAAAAGCTGAAATGTCTTGTTATGGCAAGCCGAAATAAGTTCAGGAGTAAACATTTTCTTAACAAGTCACATGATAAGTTGCATGGACTCACTCTGTGTGCAATAATAGTGTTTAACATGATTTTTCTAATGACTACCTCATCTCTGTACCCCACACATACAATTGTCTGTAAGGTCCCGGAGTCGAGCAGTGAATTTCAAACACAGATTCAACTACAAAGACCAGGGAGGTTTTCCAATGCCTCGCAAAGAAGCCCACCTATGATAGAAAATAAAGCAGACATTGAATATCCCTTTGACCATGGTGACGTTATTAATTACACTTTTGATGGTGTATCAATACATCCAGTCACTACAAGGCGTCAGTTACCGGAGAGGAAGGAAACCGCTCAGGGATTTCACCATGAGGCCAATGGTGACTTTAAAACAGTTACAGTTTAATGGCTGTGATAGGAGAAAACTGAGGATGGATCAACAACATTGTAGTTACTCCACAATACTAACCTAAATGACAGAGTGAAAGAAGGAAGCCTGTACAGAATACAAATATTCCAAAATATGCATCTGTTTTGCAACAAGGCACTAAAGTAATACTGCAAAATATTTGGCAAAGCAATTATCATTTTGACCTGAATACAAAGTGTTATGTTTGGGGCAAATCCAATACAACACATTACAGAGTACAACTCTACATATTTTTAAGCATAGTGGTGGCTGCATCATGTTATGGGTATTGCTTGTAATCATTAAGGACTGGGGAGTTTTTCAGGATAAAAAAAAGAAATGGAATAGAGCTAAAAACAGGCAGAATCCAGAGGAAAACCTGGTTCAGTCTGTTTCCACCAGACACTGGGAGATGAATTCAGCTTTCAGCAGGACAATAACCTAAAACACAAGGCCAAATCGACACTGGAGTTGCTTACCATGAAGACAGTGAATGTTTTTGAGTTGCCGAGTTACAGTTTTGACTTAAATCTACTTGAAAATCTATGGCAAGACTTGAAAATGGCTGTCTAGCAATGATCAACAACAAACTTAACAGAGCTTGAAGAATTTTAAAAATAATAATGTGCAAATATTGTACAATCCAGGTGTGCAAAGCTCTTAGAGACTTACCCAATAAGACTCACAGCTGTAATTACTGCCAAGGGTGATTCTAACATGTATTGACTCAAGGGTGTGAATACTTATGTAAATGAATATTTCTGTATTTCATTTTCAATAAAGTTGCTAAAATTTGGCACGGCTGTGTGTTGTGGCAGTTTGGCACGGCTGTGTGTTTGCGGCAGTTTGGCACGGCTGTGTGTTTGCGGCAGTTTGGCACGGCTGTGTGTTGCGGCAGTTTGGCACGGCTGTGTGTTTGCGGCAGTTTGGCACGGCTGTGTGTTTGCGGCAGTTTGGCACGGCTGTGTGTTGCGGCAGTTTGGCACGGCTGTGCTGTGACTGAGTCAGAGATGATAGGAGATAGTGATGGTAGGAGATAGTGATGGTAGGAGATAGTGATGGTAGGAGATAGTGATGGAGAACAAAGTGAAGCCAGTATGGAGCATAGTGGTACAAATAAAGGAGGGAGTAGGAAAGAGAAAAAGAAAGTGGGAGAGAAAAGGGAGGAGGGGTTTGAAGGGGAGAGAGACATCTATGGAGGCAGAGAGGAGGCAGAAAAGGAAGTTTGAGAAGAGCAACATAGTTTCCAACGCTAGCGGCGGTTCGGAGGTAGAAAAATATATCTGAAACTTTTAACATCCCATGGAGCACCATTAAATCCACTATTAAAACATTTAAAGAATATGGAACCACGACAAACCTGCCAAAGAGAGGGCTGCCCACCAAAACTCATGGTCCAGGCAACGAGGGCATTAATCAGAGAGGCAACAAAGAGACCAAAGATAACCCTGAAGGAGCTGCAAAGCTCCACAGCAGAGATGGGAGTATCTGTCCATAGGACCACTTTAAGCCATACACTCCACAGAGCTGGGCTTTACGGAAGAGTGGCCAGAAAAAAGCCATTGCTTAAAGAAAGAAATAAGCAAACACGTTGGGTGTTCGCCAAAAGGCATGTGAGAGACTCCCCAAACATATGGAAGAAGGTACTCTGGTCAGATGAGATTAAAATTGATCTTTTTAGCCATCAAGGAAAACGCTATGTCTGGCGCAAACCCAACACCTCTCATCACGCCGAGAACACCAATGTTTTTCATCGGCAGGGACTGGGAAACTGGTCAGAATTAAAGGAATGATGGATGGCACTAAATGCAGGGAAATATCTTGAGGGAAACCTGTTTCAGCCTTCCAGAGATTTGAGACTGGGATGGAGGTTCACCTTCCAGCAGGACAATGACCCTAAGCATACTGCTAAAGCAACACTTGAGTGGTTTAAGGGGAAACATTTAAATGTCTTGGAATGGCCTAGTCTAAGCCCAGACCTCAATCCAATTGAGAATCTGTGGTATGACTTAACGATTGCTGTACACCAGCGGAACCCATCCAACTTGAAGGAGTTGGAGCAGTTTTGCCTTGAAGAATGGGCAAAAGTCCCAGTGGCTAGATGTGCCAAGCTTATAGAGACATACCCCAAGGTACTAGCAGCTGTAATTGCTGCAAAAGGTGGCTCTACAAAGTACTGACTTTGTGGGGGTGAATAGTTATGCACGCTCAAGTTTTCTGTTTTTTTTGTCTTATTTCTTGTTTGTTTCACAAAAAAAAAAAAAAAAGTGCATCTTCAAAGTGGTAGTCATGTTGTGTAAATCAAATGATACAACCCCCCCCAAAAAAATCCATTTTAATTCCAGGTTGTAAGGCAACAAAATAGGAAAAATGCCAAGGGGGGGTGAATACTTTCACAAGCCACTGTATCTATGAAGCAGGCAGTGGAAGGGTGGTCCAGGAGAGAAGGGTGTCATATGTTGAGGCAGTGAGGGTGGTCCAGGAGAGAAGGGTGTCATATGCTGAGGCAGTGAGGGTGATCCAGGAGAGAAGGGTGTCATATGCTGAGGCAGTGAGGGTGGTCCCGGAGAGAAGGGTGTCATATGCTGAGGCAGTGAGGGTGGTCCAGGTCCAGGGAGATACAGGTTCAAGGGCTAAGAGCATCTAGATTACGGGGCAGGTAGGGGCAGGTAGGGGCAGGTAGGGGCAGGTAGGCGGCGATGTTACATACAGTATATTCTGAAGGTTTTCAGACCCCTTGACTATTTCCACATTTTGTTACGTTACAGCCTTGTTCTAAAATGGATTAAATAAATGTTTTTCCTCATCAATCTACACACAATACCCTGTCACGCCCTGGCTCTGGGGACTCGTGTATGTTGAGCCAGGGTGTTCGTTTCTTTGTGTAGTGTCTATGTTTCGTTTTCTATGTTCTGTTCTAGGTTATGTGTTTCTATGTTGGCCGGGGTGGTTCTCAATCAGAGGCAACGAGAATCAGCTGTTGCTTGTTGTCTCTGATTGGGAACCATACTTAGGCAGCCTTTTGTGCACTTGTCTTTTGTGGGATCTTGTTCCGTGTTGGTTTGTGTTGTATAACCGAGGACTTCACGTATCGTTTTGTTGTTTTGTGTATTTGAAAGTACTAAAATAAAAGTATGTACTCGTATCACGCTGCGCCTTGGTCCGCTCATTATGACGATCGTGACATACCCCATAATGTCAAAGTGAAAACAGGTTTTTAGTTTTTTTTGCAAAATTATTACAAATAAAAAATACAAATGATTTACATAAGTATTCAGACCCTTTGCTATGAGACTCAAAATTGAGCTCAGGTGCATCCTGTTTCCTTTGATCATCCATGAGATGTTTCTACAACTTGATTGGAGTCCACCTGTGGTAAATTCAATTGATTGGACATGATTTGGAAAGGCACACACCTGTCTATATAAGGTCCCACAGTTGACAGTGCATGTCAGTGCAAAAACCAAGCCATGAGGTCGAAGGAATTGTCCATAGAGCTCAGAGACAGGATTGTGTAGAGGCACAGATCTGGGGGAGGGTACCAAAACATTTCTGCAGCATTGAAGGTCCCCAAGAACACAGTGGCTTTCATCATTCTTAAATGGAAGAAGTTTGGAACCACCAAGACTCTTCCTAGAACTGGCCGTCCGGCCAAACTGAGCAATCGGGGGAGAAGGGCCTTGGTCAGGGAGGTGACCAAGAACCCGATGGTCACTCTGACAGAGCTCCAGAGTTCCTCTGTGGAGGTGGGAGAACCTTCCCGAAACCCAACCATCTCTGCAGCACTCCACCAATCAGGCCTTATGGTACAGTGGCCAGACGGAAGCCACTCCTCAATAAAAGGCACATGACAGCCCATTTGGAGTTTGCCAAAAGGCACCTAAAGGACTCTCAAGATTATTTGGTTTGATGAAACCAAGATTGCACTCTTTGGCCTGAATGCCAAGCATCATGTCTGGAGGAAACCTGGCACCATCCCTATGGTGAAGCATGGTGGTGGCAGCATCATGCTGTGGGGATGTTTTTCAGCGGCAGGGACTGGGAGACTCGTCAGGATCTAGGGAAAGATGAACGGAGCAAAGTACAGAGAGATCCTTGATGAAAACCTGCTCCAGAGCTCTCAGGACCTCAGACTGGGGCGAAGGTTCACCTTCCAACAGGACAATGACCCTAAGCACACAGCCAAGACAACGCAGGAGTGGCTTCGGGACAAGTCTCTGAATGTCCTTGAGTGGCCCAGCCAGAGCCCGGACTTGAACCCGATCAACATCTCTGGAGAGACCTGAAAATAGCTGTGCAGCAATGCTCCCCATCCAACCTGACAGAGCTTGAGAGGATCTGCAGAGAAGAATGGGAGAAACTCCCCCAAATACAGGTGTGCCAAGCTTGTAGCATCATACCCAAGAAGACTCGAGGCTGTAATCGTTGCCAAAGGTGCTTCAACAAAGTACTGAGTAAAGGGTCTGAATACTTATGTAAATGTGATATTAAATGTGTAAATGTGATATTTATTTTTTTATACATTTGCAAAAATGTCTTTAAATTATTTTTGCTTCGTCAATATCAGGTATTGTATTGTGTGTAGATTGATGAGGGGGGAAAACCCTTTAAAGTAAGTTGTAACATAACAAAATGTGGAAAAAGTCAAGGGGTATGAATACTTTCCGAATGTACTGTAGATAAGAGAAAGCTGGTGACGTTCATAGCAGGAGCTATCAATAGCACTGATAAAGTAGAGTCTAAAACAGAGAGGATTCAGCTCATAGTGAAAGCTGGTGACGTTCATAGCAGGAGCTATCAATAGCACTGATAAAGTAGAGTCTAAAACAGAGAGGATTCAGCTAATAGTGAAAGCGTCTGGGAGACATTTGAGTATGACAGGGTTGACATGGGAAGAGGTTGGAGATTACCTCAATCAACAGAGGCAGGAAACCGACTGTGGAGTTTATCATACGGGGGGGGGGGGGGGGGGGGGGGGGGGGGTTTAGAGGCGTGAGGTGTGGTTTAGAGGAGGTGTGGTTTAGAGGAGGTGTGGCTTAGAGGAGGTGTGCTAGTGGTAGTGAACTACTATAATCCTTGTCAGATATTGGACATGGAACTGCTGAAGAGGACGGAGGTTCAGGATAGAAGTAAGGTCATGTGGTGTGGGGATTTTAACGCCCACAACACGCTTTGGGGAGGGAAACGGATGGATGGAAATGGCCAAGTGATGCAAAATCTGATAGAAATGAAAGATCTGGTGTGCCTGAATGATGGCAGAGGGACCAGAGTTGATGTGGCCACTGGGAAAGAGACTGCCTTGGACCTCACTCTGGTATCTGGTGCGATGGCAGGAAGCTGTGAGTGGGAGGTATGGGAGGAGTCGACAGTAGGAAGTGATCATTACCCCATAGTATGCTGCTAATTTATAATACATGCACACATGCTGTTAGAAGATCCGGAGCTAATTTTAGCCCTTACCGTAGGCATTAATTCAGTCTGCTCCCTCCTCTGTCAATTACATTTTCTCAATGTCATTATAATCCAAATGTGCACTGACTGATCAACACAGTGTCACTTTTAATGTGTTCCCTGATCAACACAGTGTCACTTTTAATGTGTTCCCTGATCAACACAGTGTCACTTTTAATGTGTTCCCTGATCAACACAGTGTCACTTTTAATGTGTTCCCTGATCAACACAGTGTCACTTTTAATGTGTTCCCTGATCAACACATTGTCACTTTTAATGTGTTCCCTGATCAACACAGTGTCACTTTTAATGTGTTCCCTGATCAACACAGTGCCACTTTTAATGTGTTCCCTGATCAACACAGTGTCACTTTTAATGTGTTCCCTGATCAACACAGTGTCACTTTTAATGTGTTCCCTGATCAACACAGTGTCACTTTTAATGTGTTCCCTGATCAACACAGTGTCACTTTTAATGTGTTCCCTGATCAACACATTGTCACTTTTAATGTGTTCCCTGATCAACACAGTGTCACTTTTAATGTGTTCCCTGATCAACACAGTCCCACTTTTAATGTGTTCCCTGATCAACACAGTGTCACTTTTAATGTGTTCCCTGATCAACACAGAGTCACTTTTAATGTGTTCCCTGATCAACACAGTGCCACTTTTAATGTGTTCCCTGATCAACACAGTGCCACTTTTAATGTGTTCCCTGATCAACACAGTGCCACTTTTAATGTGTTCCCTGATCAACACAGAGTCACTTTTAATGTGTTCCCTGATCAACACAGTGTCACTTTTAATGTGTTCCCTGATCAACACAGTGCCACTTTTAATGTGTTCCCTGATCAACACAGTGCCACTTTTAATGTGTTCCCTGATCAACACAGAGTCACTTTTAATGTGTTCCCTGATCAACACAGTGCCACTTTTAATGTGTTCCCTGATCAACACAGAGTCACTTTTAATGTGTTCCTTGAAAACCTGAAGTCACCATCCACAAGTAAAAAGTAGCAGGGGTGTGGGTTGCACATGAAGCATCCAGCTAAAACAACAACATAATGATTATTCCTTGCTTGCACGACCTGGGCGCAGTCAAAAGAAAATGCCAATGCTTGCTAACTTGGTTAGCTATGTGATAAAATGAAAACCTTTCAACACATCAACAGACTTTACAAGGTGTTGAAAGCGTTCCACAGGGATGCTGGCCCATGTCGACTCCAGTTTTGTTAAGTTGGCTGGATGTCCTTTGGGTGGTGTACCGTTCTTGATACACACGGGAAACTGTTGAGCGTGAAAAACCCAGCAGCTTTGCAGTTCTTGACACAACCATACTATTACCATACCCTGTTCAAAGGCACTTAAAAAAATTTTGTCTTGCCCATTCACCCTCTGAATGGCACACATACACAATCCATGTCTCAGTGACAGTGTAATGATGGACAGTGTAATGATGGACAGTGTAATGATGGACAGTGTAATGATGGACAGTGTCATGATGGACAGTGTAATGATGTCATGATGGAAAGTTCATGATGTCATGATGGGAAGTGATGATGTCATGATGGATCAGTGTCATGATGACAGGGCATGATGGACAAGTAATGATGTCCTGAATGGACAGTTTTCATGATGGCCGTGTAATAATGATGTCATGATGGACAGTGAATGATGTCATGAGGGACAGTGTAAAAGAGTCATGATGGACAGTGTAATGATGTCATGATGGGACAGTTAATGATGTTATGATGGACAGTGTATTAGTAATGATGTCATGAGGACGTGTAATGATGTCTGATGGACAGTGTCATGATGGACAGTGTCATGATGACAGTGTCATGATGGACAGTGTAATGATGTCAGATGGGACAGTGGAATGATGGACCGTGTCATGATGGACAGTATCATGATGGACAGTGTAATGATGTCATGATGGAAGTGTAATGATGTCTGATGGAGAGTGTATGATTGTCATGATGGACAGTTGTCATGATGTCATGATGATGGAGAGGTCATGAGGGACAGTGTTATGAGGGAAATGTGTAAAGAGGTCATGATGGAAAACAGATGTAATGATGTCAGGAGGAAGTGTCCATGGGACAGTGTTCCATGATGGAAGTGGAATGATGGGACAGTGTCATGATGGTACAGTGTCTAATGATGTATGGGACAGTGTAATGATGTCATGATGGACAGTGGTAAATGATTGTCATGATGGACAGTGTAAGTGATGGACAGTTGTAAGTGAGGACAGGTTTAATGAGTCATGATGGACGTTGTAAGATGTCAGATGACAGTGTAATGATGGACAGTGTCTGCGGGACAGTGTCATGATGGACAGGTAATGGATGTAATATGGAGAGTGTAATGATGTATGATGGACAGTTGTAATGATGGCAGTGTCATGATGGAAGATCATGATGACAGTGTAATGATGTCATAATGGGACAGTGTCATGTTGTCATGATGGAGAGTGAATGATTGTCAGGAGGACAGTTAATGATGGACAGGTCATGATGGACAGTGTAATGATGGACAGTTGTATATGATGGACAGGGATAAGGATGGAAGTGTCATGATGGAGGACAGGTGAATGAGTCATGCAGGACAGTGTGTGGTAATGATGTCCCAGATGGACAGTTGTAATGCTGTAGATGGCCAGTGTATGCCAGACGGCTGTATGATGGACAATGTATGATTGTCATGATGGACAGTTCATGATGGCAGTTAATGATGTCATGATGTTGACAGTGTAAATGATGTCATGATGGACAGTGTAAAGATTGTCATGATGGACAGTGTAAGAGTCAGATGGACAGTTGTAATGATGTTGGATGTTATGATGGACAGTGTCTGTTAATGATGTCATGATGGAAAGTTGTAATGTTGTCATGAGGGACAGCTGTATGATGGACAGTGGGCGGTCGATGGAAGTGTTAATGAATGGACAGGGAATGATGTCATGATGGACCAGGTAATGATGGAAGTGTATGATGGACAGTTCATGATGGACAGGGTTGTAATGATGCATGTGGAGTTTGTATGATGTCATGAGGAAGTGTAATGATGTTGAGGGGACAGTGTATGATGTCATGATGCGAGTGTCATTGATGGACAGTGTCAGAGGACAGTGTAAAGATGTCAGGATGAAGTTGTTGTGTTGTTTGTCATGATGTCATGATGGACGTGTCATGATGGAAGGGTCATGATGGAAAGTGTAATATGGACACGTGTCATGATGGACAGTGTAAAGCTGTCATGATGGATCTGTGTAATGATGCATGTGACAGTGTACATGATGGACAGTTGTGTAAAGATCATGAGCGACAAGTTTGTAATGGATTTTGTCATGATGGACGTGTTGTAAATGAGGCATGATGGAAGTGTAATGAGGGACATATGTAATGATGGACAGTTTAATGCTGTCATTGAGGACAGTTGTAATGATGTCAGAGGACAGTGTTGTAATGAGGGACAGTGTCATGATGGACAGTGCATGATGGACAGTGGTAATGATGTCATGTGGAGATGTTAATGATGTAATGATGGGACAGTGTAATGATGGACAGTGTCATGATGGACGTTATCAGGATGGACAGTGTAATGATGTCCCTAAATGGGACAGTGTCATGATGTTTCATGATGGAGAGTGTTGTAATTGATGTATGATTGGAAGAGTAAATGAGGGACAGGGTCATGATGGGACAAGCTTGAATGATTGTCATGATGGACTGTAATGATGTAAGATGGACAGTGTAATGATGTATGATGGACAGTGTCATGAGGACAGTGTCATGATGGACAGTGTAATGTTGTAATGATTGACAGTGTCATGATGGACAGGGTAATGATGTCATGTGATGGACCTGTTAATGATGTCATGATGGACAGTGTGCTGATGGACAGTGTATGATGTCAATGATGGACAGTGTAATATGGACAGTGAATGATGGACAGCGGTATGATGGAAGTGGTAATGATGTTCCTGATGGACAGTGGATGAATGAAGGTCATGATGGACAGTTGTAAAGATGTCATGATGGCAGGTTAATGATGTCATGATGGACCGTGTAGATGTATGATGGACAGTGGAATGATGTCATGATGGACAAGTGAATGATGTTCTGATTGACAGTGTATCTGATGGACAGTGTGTTTAATGTGGAAGTTTAATGATGTCATGATGGACAGTGTAATGATGGATCAGTGTCAGTGATGGCCAGTGTAATCGATGTCATGATTGGACAGTGGGTAATGATGGACGTTGTAATGTATGGATGGACAGTGTAATGATGGCCAGTTGTCATGATGGAAGTGTAATGATGTCCATGATGGACAGTGTAATGATGTCATGATGGCCAGTGTTAAATGCTGTCATGCTGGACAGTTGTAATGATGTAATGATGGGGACAGTTTCATGAGGGACAGTGTCATTGATGGGACAAGTAATGAGTAATGATGGACAGTGTCATGATGGACAGTGTCTGATGGCAGTTGTAATGATGGGACGGTTTTGTTCAGGATGAGACAGTGTCATGATGGACGGTAATGATGTCATGAGGGACAGTGTCATGAGGACAGTGTCCGATGGACAGTTGTCATGAGGAAGTGTAATATGTCATAGGACAGTGTCATGATGGACAGTGTCATGATGGACAATGTAAGATGTCATGATTGACAGTGTAATGAATGGGACAGTGTCATGCTGGACAGGTAATGATGTCAGATGGGCAGTGTCATGATGTCAGATGGAGAGTCGTAATGATGTTCTGATGGCATTGTCATGGATGGACATGTCATGATGGACAGGGTAAGAGGTCATTGAGGACAGTGTCATGATGGCCAGTGTAATGAAGGACAGTGTCATGAATGGGACCAGGTAATGATGTCATTGATGGACAGTGTAATGATATCCTGATTGGACACAGTGTCATATGTCATGATGGTGGACAGTGTCATGTGATGGAACAGTGTATTATGATGGACAGTTTGTCATGATGGACAGGGTAATGATGTCATGCTGGACAGTGTCAGGATGTCATGATGGAGAGTGTAATGATGTCATGATGGGACAGTGTCAGATGGACAGTTCCTGATGGACAGTGTAATGTGGACAGTGTAATGATGGACAGTGTCATGATGGACAGTGTAATGATGTCATGATGGAACGTTGGTCATGATGTCATGATGGAGAGTGTAATGATGTTATGATGGACAGTGTAAGTAATGATGGGCAGTTGTTAAGGATGGACAGTGTCATGATGGACAGTTGTCATGATGTCATGGGGACAGTTGGTCATGATGGACAGGTGTATGATGTCATGTGGACAGGGTCATGATGTCATGATGGACAGGGTCATGAGGGACAGTGGAATGTAATGATGGACAGTGTCATGATGGACAGTGGAATGATGTCATGATGGACAGTTGTTAATGGATATCCATGACGGAACATTGTCATGTGTCATGGAGGACAGGTGTCATGATGGACAGGGTTTGACATGATGGACGTTGTCATGATGGACAGTGTAATGATGGACAGTGTAATTGATTGTCATTTGATGGACAGTTTATGATGTCCCCATGATGGACAGTGTCATGATGGACAGTGTAATGATGTAATGATGGACGTGTCATGATGTCATGATGGAGAGTGTGATAATTATGATGTCATGATGGACAGTGTATGATGTCATGTGGACAGTGTAATGCTGGGACAGGGGTGTGTAATGATGGACAGTGTCAGATTGGACAGTGTAAGGATGTCTGATGGACCAGTGTAAATGATGGACCGTGTCATGATGGACAGTATCCTGATGACAGTGTAAATGCTGTCATGATGGACAGTGTATGAGGACAGTGAGTCAGATGGACGGTGTAATTATGTCATGATGGACAGTGTACATGATGGGACAGTGTCATGATGGGACAGTTCATGATGGACAGGTAATGATGTCATGATGGACAGTTGTTAAATGATGTCAGGATGGACAGGTATGATGGACCAGTGTAATGATGGACAGTGTAATGATGGGACAAGCCCTGTATTGATGTCAGATGGAACAGTTGTAATGATGGACAGTGTCATGATGGACAGGTATGTTGGAATTGATGTAATGATGGACAGGTCATGATGGGACCAGGGTCATGAGGACAGTGTAATGAGTATGATTGGACCGTGTCATGATGTCATGTGGAGAGTGTTAATGATGTCATGATGAGACAGGGATAATGATGGACAGGCTCATGATGACAGGTAATTGATGTCATTGATGGGACAGTGTCAGAGGGACAGTGTAATGATGGACAGGTCAGGATGGACAGTTTAATGATGTCATGATGGACAGTTGTAATGATTTTATTCATGATGGACAGTGTAATGATGGACAGTGTTCATGATGGCCAGTGTAATGATGTCATGATGGAACAGTGTCATGTATGTCATGCTGGGAGGGTGTAATGATGTCATGATGGACAGTGTAATGATGGACAGTGTCATGATGGACAGTGTAATGATGGACAGTGTCATGATGGACAGTGTCATGATGGACAGTGTAATGATGTCATGATGGACAGTGTCATGATGGACAGTGTCATGATGGACAGTGTCATGATGGACAGTGTCATGATGGGGACAGTGTTCATGGGTCATGATGGACAGTGCCGTGCATGATGGACAGTTCATGATGGACATGTAATGATGTCATTGATGGACAGTGTACTGATGGGACGTGTCATGCTGGACAGTTGTAATGAGTCATGATGGGAAAGTGTCATGATGTCAGATGGAGCGTGTAGATTTAATGATGTCATGATGGGACAGGTCATGATGGACAGTGTCATGATGGACAGTGTAATGATGTCATGATGGACAGTGTCATGATGGACAGTGTAATGATGGACAGTGTCATGATGGACAGTGTAATGATGTCATGATTGTGACCGTGTAGGTTTGTAATGATATCATGATGGACAGGTCATGATGTCATGATGGGACAGTGTCATGATGGACAGTGTTGTGAATGATGGCCAGTTAATGATGGACAGTGTCATGATTGTAATGATGGACCAGTGTCATGATGTCATGAGCCGCTGGAGAGTGTTAATGAGTCATGATGGACAGGGTAATGATGGACATGGAATGATGGCCAGTTAATTGTGTATGATGGAACAGTGTCATTGATGGACAGTTAATGATGTCATGATGGACAGTGTCATGATGTTATGATGGAGAGTGTAATGAGGTCATGATGGACAGTGTTTCCAATGACGGTAGATTGTATGTGACAGCTTAGTTATACTATTAATCGGACAGTGTGTACATGCTGGGGAGATAAGGGTCATGATGGACCAGTCGTCATGAAGAAGTTGTGACATTGATGGAGGAGGTATAATGGATTGTCATGGTGTGGACAGTGTGGTAAGTGCGTTGCCAGTGTGGACAGTGTCATCGTATGGACAGGTGTAATGAGGTTCGATGATGGGACATGTGGTGTAATGAGGCAACAGTGTCCATTGGATGGAACAGGAAATGTCCTGCCCGGTCCCTGGCACGTGACACGGCGTGGCCGCGAGAAGGATGAGACACGATGTGATTAAGACTGGTCACGTGATGCAGACAGTCGTACGACGAGCTGTACTGCTGGACAGTGATGAGACAGCGTGTCATGAGTGATACAGCTGGTAAGTTGGACAGTAGTAATGATGGACTATCCAAGCCAAGGTATTGACAGTGTAAATGATGTCAATGGATGGACAGAGTGCTATGCATGTCATGATGGAGGAAAGAGAGTGTAATGAGTGTGTCATGATGGCAATCTTACAGAGTCACGCTTGTTTACGGACTAGGGACACGCTTGTCATACTGCTGATAGGACCGCTATCGCAAAGATGCGAAGTCCTGATGGCCAGTGTCATGATGTCAGAGGAGGAGTTTGTAAGTCGATAGTCATGGAGACGCATGTAATGAATGGACTGAAGGGGGTCATGATGGGAAAGGCTGTAAGCATGATGTAACTGGAGGGAAATGAAAGACATGTGTAATGACCGGGGACTAAGGGATTGTCCACAATGAGTTGGACAATGAATGACGTGTTACCATTGATGGACAGTGTCATGAGATAAGAAAGTGACGAGTGCTAATGATGTTCATGCTGGACCATACATGATGGGTCATACGCTTGGAGAAGTGTCAATGATGGAGAGATGTAATGATGATTCAGTGCATGGACCACAGTTGTAATGATGTCATCGGAGGACAGTGTAATGATGGGCCGGACAGTGTAGTTGTAATGATGGACCAGTGTCAGGATGGACAGTGTCATGATGTCCATGATGGACAGATTGGATGATGATGTCATGATGGGAAAGTGTTATTGTGATGATGGAACAGTGTCATGAGGATCAGTATTCATGTGGACAGTGTAATGATGTATGATGGACAGGGTCAGATGTCATGATGGAGAGTGTAATGATGTCATGAGGACAGTGTAATGATGGACAGTGTCATGATGGACAGTGAAGGAGGTCCTGAGGACAGTGTCCAATGATGTGCAGAGGAGAGTGAGTGTACTGGATGTCATGATGGAACAGTGTCATGCTGGACAGTGTCCATGATGGACAGTGTAATGTGTCATGATGGACAGTGTATGATGGACAGTCTAATGATGGACAGTGTCATGATGGACGGGTCAGTGATGGATGAGTGTAAGGATGTTCATGCTGGACAGTGTAATGATATCATGATGGACAGTGTCATAATGTCATGAGGACAGTGTCATGATGGACCAGTTGTAATGTGGACAGGGTCATGATGGACAGTTGGTAATGATGTCATGATGGACAGTGTCATGATGTCATGATTGGAGAGTGTAATGATGTATTGATGGACAGTGTATGATGTCAATGATGGACAGTTCATGATGGACAGTTGGTCATGATGGACAGTTATGCATGATGGACAGGTCATGATGTCATGATCGGACAGTGTAATGATTAACTGATTGGACAGGTAAATGATGGACAGTGTAATGATGGACAGTTGTAAAAAAATTTTTTGAGGTCATGAGGCAGTGTCATGGATGAACAGTTGTTGTAATGATTGCAGTGATGGGACCAGTTGTATGATGTCATGATGGAGAGTGTTGTAATGATGTCATGATGGACAGTGTAATGATTGTCATGATGGCAGTGTAATTATGGCCAGGTAATGATGGACGTGCATGATGGGACAGTGTCATGATGTCATGATGGATGAGTGTACATGATGTCATGATGGACAGTGTGTAAGGAGGGACAGTGTCATGAGGGACAGTGTAATGATGTCATGATGGGACAGTGTAAGATGGACAGGGTCATGATGGACAGTATCAGGATGGGAAGTGTAATGATGTCATATGGACAGTGTAATGATGTCTGATGGACAGTGTCATGAGGGAAGTGTGTTATGATTGGCAGTGTCATGAGGGACCAGTGTAAATGATGTCATGATGGACAGTGGTCATGTGTCATGATGGAGAGGTGTCAGGATGTCATGATGGGGACAGTGTTAATGTGAGGCAGTGTCATGGGGACAGTTGTTGTAAATGATTGTCATGATGGGACAGTTCATGATGTCATGATGGAGAGTGAACTGATGTCAGTGGACAGTGTAATGATGGACATTGTCATGATGGACAGTGTAATGTAATGATGTTAATGATGGCAGTGTTCATGAATGGACGTTAATGATGGACAGTGTCATGATGGACAGGTAATGATGTCATGATGGACCAGTGTAATGATTTGTAATGATATCATGATGGACAGTCGAACTGATGGACAGTGTCAGGATGGACAGTGTAATGATGTCATCGATGTACAGTGTTCATGATGTCATGATGGACAGTGTAATGATTGTAATGATGGACAGTGAATGATGGACAGGTGTAATGCCTGGAACAGTGTCAATGACCATGGACAGTGTCATGAGTAAGGATGGACAGCTGTATTGTAATGACTTTGGTTCAGTGTAATGAGGGTCAGATGGACAGTGTGTAATGATGGCACAGTGTTCATGATGGACAGTATCATGAGGACAGTTGTTAGCGATTGCTGATGGACAGTGTCATGATGTCATGATGGAGAGAAGTTGTAATGATGTAATGGATTGACAGTGTAATGATGGACAGTGTCATATGATGGACAGGGTAATGATGGACAGTTTTTGTCATGAGGGACAGTATCATGATGGGACAGTGTAAGGATGTCATGATGGACAGTGTCAATGGATGTCATGATGGAGAGTGGAATGAGTCATGATGGGACAGTGTATGATGGTACAGTGTCATGATGGACAGTGCTCATGATGGGCAGTGTCAGATGTCATGATGGAGAGGGAGAGTGTTTAATGATGTCATGATGGACAGTGTAATGGATGGACAGTGTCATGATGGACAGGATCATGATGGACAGTGTAAGGATGTCATGATGGACAGTGTCATATGTAATGATGGAGGTGTAATGATGTCATGATGGACCGTGTAATGAGGGACAGTGTAATGATGGACAGTATCATGATGGACTAGTGTATAATGATGTCATGATGGACGGTAATGGATGTCATGTGGACAGTGTAAATGTGTCATGTGGACAGGGTAATGATGGACAGGTAATGATGTATGATGGACACGTGTAATGATGGGCAGGTCATGATGAACAGGTGTAATGATGTCATGAGGACCGTGTTAATGAGTCTGAGGACAGTGTAAGATGTCATGATGGACAGTGGAAGAGTCATGATGGACAGTGTAAATGATGGACGTGTAATGATGTCATGAGGGACAGTGTTATGAGGTCAGATGGGAGTGTAATGATTGTTCATGATGATGGACAGTTGTAATGATGCATGATGGACAGTGTAATGATGGACAGTGTAAATGATGGACACAGTTTTAATTATGCATGATGGACAGTGTCATTGATGGACAGTGTAATGATGTCATGAGGGACAGTGGTCATGTTGGACAGTGTAATGATGGACAGTGTAATTGATGGAACGCAGTGATACATGCCTGGCCAGGAGTAATGATGTCATGATGGTAGCACGAGGGTCTGTAATATGTAATGATGGACAGATTTGGTAATGATTGTCACGATGGACAGGGTAGAATGGACAGTGTAATGATGGACAGTGTAAATGATGTAATGAGGCAGGTCAATGATGGAACAGTGTATGATGGACAGTGTAAGATGTATGATGGAAGTTGTAAAGAGTGCATGATGGACAGTGTTGTAATGAGGAACACAGTGGCATTGATGGCCAGTGTAATGATGTCATGAGGACGTGTATGGATGGCAGTGTCAATGCATGTCTGATGGACAGTGTAAATGAGTATCATGATGGACGCTGTCATGACTGAGAAAGTGTAATGATGTCATGAGGACAGCGGTCATGTGTCACTGTGGAGAGAGTGAATGATGTCATGATGGACAGTGTCATGATGGACAGTGTAATGATGGACAAGGAATTGATGTAATATGGGACAGTGTAATGATGGACAGGTAATTGATGTCATGATGGAGAGTTGTAAGGATGTCATGATGGACAGTTAATTGATGTCATGATGGACAGGGTGTAATTACTGATGGACAGTGGATCCCATGCTGACAGTGTAATGATGCCTGTGGACAGTGTCTGATGGACAGTGTCATGCTGGCATGATGGACAGGGTAATGATATCATGTGGACAGTGTCATGATGGACCGCGTAAGTGATGTCATGCTGGGACAGGTCAGGATTGTATGATGGAGAGTGTAAATGATGTCATGATGGACAGTGTAATGATGTCATGATGGACTTTGTAATGATGGAACGTGTAATGAGGACCAGTTTCATGCGGACAGGTCATGATGTCATGAGGAGGGTTGTAATGATCTCATGAGGGTACAGTGTAATGAGGCGACAGGGGTTAATGATGACAGTGTCATGATGGACCGTGTAATGATGGGACAGCTGAATGATGTCATGATGGACAGTGTTGTAATGCTGCATGATGGAAAGTTTGTAGTGAGTAGATGGACAGTGTGTAACAGTGTATGATGTCATGTATGGACAGTTGTAATGATGTCATATGGACAGGTCATGAATGGACAGTGTAATGATGTCATGATGGACAGTGTAATGATTGTCATGATGGACAGTTGTAATGATGTCATGATGGACAGTGTCATGATGGACAGGTAATGATGTCATGGTGGACAGTTGTCATGATGGACAGTGTCCTGATGGAACAGTCTTGTAAATGGAGGAAAGCTGTCATGATGGACAGTGTTTTAATGATGTCATGAGGGGGGACAGGTCATGATGGCCAAGTGCTGTGGACAGTGTCATGATGGAAGTATATGAGGACAGTGTAATGATGTCATGATGGGACAGTGTAATGCTGTCATGAGGACAGTGTAATGATGTATGATGGGGACAGTGTTGATGGACAGTGTACTTGATGTCATGGTGGACAGTTTCATGATGGACAGTGTCTGATGGACAGGTAATGGATGTCATTATGGGGACAGTCTGTTTAATTGATGTGACAGTGTCTGATGGACAGTATCATGATGGACCGTGTAATGATTGTCAGGATGGACAGTGTTTGTTAAAGATTGTCATTGAGGGACAGTGTAATGATGTCATGATGGACAGTGTAATTGATGTTATGATGTGACAGGTAAAATGATGTCATGATGGGACAGTGTAATGATGGACAGTGTTAATGAGGGACAGTTTAATGATGTCCATGATGGGACGTACATGAGGACAGGTGTTAAATGATGGCATGATGGGACAGTGTCATTGATTGACAGTAATGATGTCATGTGGACAGTGTTGTTAGGATGGACAGTGTTGTAAATGATGGCCAGGGTAATGATGTCATCGATGGACACGTGTCATGCATGGACAGTGTCATGATGGACAGTGTAATGTAACTGATGGAAGGTCATGAGACAGCCTGTAATGATGTCTGATGGCAGTGTCATGATGGACAGTGTAATGTGGACAGTGTAATGTGGGACAGGGTTCAATGATGTCATGATGGACAGTGTCATGATGGACAGTGTCATGATGGACAGTGTAATGATGGACAGTGTAATGATGGACAGTGTAATGATGTCATGATGGACAGTGTAATGATGTCATGATGGACAGTGTAATGATGTCATGATGGACAGTGTAATGATGTCATGATGGACAGTGTAATGATGGACAGTGTAATGATGTCATGATGGACAGTGTAATGATGTCATGATGGACAGTGTAATGATGTCATGATGGGACAGTGTAATGATGGACAGTGTAATGATGTCATGATGGACAGTGTCATGATGTCATGATGGACAGTGTAATGATGGACAGTGTCATGATGGACAGTATCATGATGGACAGTGTAATGATGTCATGATGGACAGTGTAATGATGTCATGATGGAGCAGTGTAATGATGGACAGCTTAGCTACAGTAGACATATCTCCCTGGCATATTACATCATTTATGCAGCAGCATTCAATACATTTTGGACTCACCGTTGTGCGGTGCTCACTTGAACAGGAAGGTGGCGTGGCGTATCTTCTTGTGGGCAAGTTTTGTTATTAAACTTTGTCATCAAACTCTGTCATTCTCTAGATTTATGGTGCTTTCAAGACAACTGGGAACACTGAAGAAGAAAAAAAGGTTGAATCATGACGTCAGTGGTCTTCAGGTCGGAGCTCTAGAAAGAGGCCGCAGTTCCCGACTTGGAATTCCAAGTTGGATGACCGTTCAAAACATATTTTCCCAGTCTGAGCTCGTTTTGTTCAGAGTTCCCAGTTGTCTTGAACTCACTGAAATCTGAGATTTCCCAGTTCCGAGTTTCCAGTTGTTTTGAACGCGGCAGAAGTCCTGCTGGATTGACAGCATGGCCAATGTATTCAACCTTTTCTGGCCCATGGTGTTGCGTGTGAATGTTTATCCTTTTAAGCTTGGAAAATATATCCTTAAACCCAGACTTGGACCACACACCTTCTCCACCGAATAGCAGGCAGGGGAAGCAAAATAGTGATTTCTTTGCAATGCTTGCACTTAGCCACTGATTCCTTCCAAACCACTCATTGTTGAATTTGCGATTTCCAACTTGTTGTGTAATGTTTATGTCCAATGTCCGATGAGCACCGATACGTTTTATCTATAATTTCTCTTCATATGACAAGGATTGAAAAGGATTTGCCAGTAGATCAGACATGATCAGTCCAGTCAAAGCTACGGTAGATATAATGTGATTTGACGTCATTTTATCTGTGGCCAATGACCTTGAGCCTTCTTGGATGGGCACTTCTAATGTGAATCTATGGCAGCACCCAAGGGGGCTTGAACTTTCGAGCTCTCCCTGTAGATTTTGCGGTGACGTAGTGTCCCCATGAGTGACAGAACACTGAGCCAATCACGGCGCAACTAGAGAACATTACCAACCTCTATGCTCCGTATTTTCCGCTGGCTGCCCCACCACCACAGAAAGCACTGAGCTAGGCTGAAACACCTGCATTTTGGAGCTGCCTTACTCAAGAAAGCAAAAAAGAGTCCATGGTTGTTTGCAGCTTTATAATGTATTTATTTTTGCATTGTTTGCAAACTGATATGTGACACGTATGAATGCCAAAATAACATGCAAAACAGGCAACAATTTTTTTTTTTTTTGCTGAACAGGTGGGGCTAAAAAATGATGGGTCGCCACTGACGGTGGCATATGAACAAATGGGTTATCAAATCAAATCAAATTGTATTTGTCACATGTGCCGAATACAACAGGTGTAGACCTTACCGTGAAGTGTTTAATTACAAGCCCTTAACCAACAATGCAGTTTTAAGAAAAATAAGAGTTAAGAAAATATTTACTAAATAAAATGAAAGCACAAAAATAAAAGAGCAACAATAAAAATAACTATAACGAGGCTGTATACAGGGGGGTACCGGTACCGAGTCAATGTGCGGGGTACAGGTTAGTCAAGGTAATTGAGGTAATATGTACATGTAGGTAGAGTTAAACTGACTATGCATAGATAATAAACAGCGAGTAGCAGCAGAGTACAAAATGGGGTCATTGTAAATAGTCAGAGTAGCCATTTGACAGTTCAGTAGTCTTATGGCTTGGGGGTAGAAGCTGTTAAGAATCCTTGGTTATAGAGCAAACAATGCAATTATCACAGTAGGTTGTAATATGGCTTTTTTTTACTGGTTTGTCATTCCTCCAGTGATTTTACCCGCTACTGGTTGGGGTCAATTTCAATTTATTGAATTGAAGACGTTAAAGGGATAGTTCGCAATTTTTACACCTTATAGTCAGATGGCTAACAAAAAACAACGATGTGGGTTATGGGGGCAATTAGACAAAGTTCAGCGTTTGTGGCCAAATGTCCTCAAGTTAATAGTGGCTATTTAAACAACTCTGAACCATGGATTACAGTTTATCCTGGCTACTTCCTGGCTACTTTCAGGGCAAGGATTTCTTATTAAACTGAATCTGATACGTTTTTCACAATTTTTTCCATAAAAACTATTTTATTTATGAGCCCAAATCCAACCCCTAACTGTTCTATGTGCTCTCTATCCTCTAGTTGTTGCTTCATCCTCCACAGATGCTGTCGTGAAGCGCTTCCCGGGTGCAACAAAGGGACAAGTGGGAACGGCTTAAAACAGTCAAATGGCTGAATTAAGAAGCGATGAAAAAAATATATATATATATGAATAGGATCCAATTAAGTTCTTAGTGTTTTGCATCGTTTGTTGTAATGTTTTATTACCATGACAACAAGTATCACTGAAGAAATGCTCCCGTAACATATATGTTAATTAAGTGTTAATGCCAGAGAAGCCGGTGTTTGGGGGGATATATTGGCACGGGTGTTGTTAGGCCTGAGACGAAGTCGAGACACCGGCTTCGAGGGCATTATCACTTTTATACAATCGGGTACCAACATATTCAAATACTAATTTACATATTTTAATTAAAAACGTTATTTTGATGAATTTATTCATACTATTTCAACCTTCCACAAGATATAGTCCCGACACAAATTTAGGGTTGCTACCCAAGCCGGCCGGTCGTTCATTCTATCGGTTCGGTTGCTAGAGACGCGACCCAGTCATTGTCTTTTTGTTCTGTATCTATGGACGCAACCCAGTCGTTCGTTCTAAATGTCCCATTGCCATACTGCTAGCTAGCCAACTACGGCTAACTTAGTCACGTCAAAAAGTGCAGCCAGAATAACAGCAAAGTAGCTGCATTTTCTAATGACATTTATTTGGATACATCCATAACAATGAGCTAATGAGGCGGGATTTCGCCTGGCATAGAAAATGTGCTCTCTGGTCAGGACACTGTTGTTCAGAGGAGCTAGCCAACAACACAGCTAACACAATCACTTCAAACTGAAGCTGGAAAGACTGCAAACTAGCTGCACTTCGTTTCGTTTTACCTTTTTTCAATTGATATTTCTTTGTATATATCCATAGAAATTATACCAGCTGATTCATGATTTCGACTGGCTGAGAAAAGATGCCTGTCTGTCTGTCTGCCTGCCTGCCTGTCTGTCTGCCTGTCTGTCTGTCTGCCTGTCTGCCTGTCTGCCTGTCTGCCTGCCTGTCTGCCTGTCTGTCTGCCTGCCTGCCTGCCTGCCTGCCTGTCTGTCTGTCTGCCTGCCTGCCTGTCTGTCTGTCTCGTCCCGACACATTCATTACTATGGGGCAGCTGGAGATCGAATTTGAATATTGAAACAATGTTGCAAATGTCGGAGAGACAAACAGCAAGGTTTATACAAATCTCCGCTGTTGAAAACTAAACGTTAGTCTAAAAGAAATGAGAGATAATGTCTAGATGCTTTTTATAGTGGAGATCAAGTTTATAAATTGCCTGGCTGGGCTGATGAGACAGTGGATTGGGCAGTCAGATGGAACAGAGTAAATAGGCATTTTAACGTCATAGATTTAGCCGGTGGTAACTTGAGGACTTGACACTGCCTGGAATGCGGGTTAAACCAATCAGCATTCAGGATTAGACACACCCGGTATATAAAGGTAACATATATTATGACATATAAGGGACATTTATGTAATAAACATTTTAATACTACGTGTCACATATCTACATATATGCACATTTATGTCTATACAAGGCATAAATATATTTCACATATATGAAAATGGACAATTCTTCTATATTTCAACATATATGTGACATATATGTACTTATACAGTATGTGTGGATACATATACAGTGCCTTCAGAAAGTATTCACACCCCTTGACTATTGGGCTCCCGAGTGGCGCAGCGGTCTAAGGCACTGCATCTCAGCGCTTGAGGCGTCACTACAGACCGAGTGGCGCAGCGGTCTAAGGCACTGCATCTCAGTGCTTGAGGCGTCACTACAGACCCCCCTGGTTCGATTCCAGGCTGTATCACAACCGGCCGTGATTGGGAGTCCCATAGGGCGGCGCACAATTTTTTATTTATTTAACCTTTATTTAACCAGGTAAGCCAGTTGAGAACAAGTTCTCATTTACAACTGCGACCTGGCCAAGATAAAGCAAATCAACACAGAGTTACATATGGAATAAACAAATACATACAGTCAATAACACAATAGAAAATAGAACATCTATATACAGTGTGTGCAAATGTAGTACGTTATGGAGGTAAGGCAATAAATAGGCCATAGTGCAAAATAATTACAATTTAGTATTAACACTGGAGTGATAGATGTGCAGAAGATGATGTGCAAATAGAGATACTGGGGTGCAAATGAGCAAAATAAATAACAATGTAAATAACAATATGGGGATGAGGTAGTTGGGTGGGCTAATTACAGATGGGCTGTGTACAGGTGCAGTGATCGGTAAGCTGCTCTGACAACTGATGCTTAAAGTTAATGAGGGAGATAAGTGTCTCCAACAATTGGCCCAGTGTCGTCCGGGTTTGGCCGGTGTAGGCCGTCATTGTAAATAAGAATTTCTTCTTAACTGACTTGCCTAGTTAAAAATAAAAAAATCCACATTTTGTTGTGTTACAGCCTGAATTCAAAATTGATCAAATATGATATTTTTCACCCTTCTACACACAATACCCCATAATGACGAAGTGAAAACCTGTTTTTAGACATTTTAGCAAAAGATTTGAAAATGAAATACAGAAATATTTAATTTACATAAGTATTCACACCACTGAGTCAATACATGTTAAAATCACCTTTGGCGGCCATTACAGCTGTGAGTATTTCTGGGTAAGTCTGTAAGAGCTTTGCACACCTGGATTGTACAATATTTGCACATTATTCCTTTTAAAATTCTTCAACCTCTGTTAAGTTGGTTGTTGATCATTGCTAGACAGACATTTTCATGTCTTGCCATAGATTTATAAGCCGATTTAAGTCAAAACTGTAACCACTCAGGAACATTCAAAGTCGTCTTGGTAACCAACGCCAGTGTATATTTGGCCGTGTGTTTCAGGTTATTGTCCTGCTGAAAGGTGAATTTGTCTCCTGGTGTCTGTTGGAAAGCAGACTGAACCAGGTTTTCCTCTAGGATTTTGCCTGTGCTTACCTCTATTCCGTTTATTTAATCCTAAAAAAAACTCCCTAGTCCTTGTTGATGACAAGCATACCCATAACATGATGCAGCCACCACCATGCTTGAAAATATGAAGAGTGGTACTTGATGATGTGTTGTGTTGAATTTGCCCCAAACATAACGCTTTGTATTCATTGTAAAAAAAAAACAATTGAGCAGTAGATCTCGGCTTGCATTTTGACTCAAAGTGATCTTGACTTAGAAAAGGTTGGCTTTGTTCTAGAGTTTCCCCTGTTAACATTATCAAATGTCCCTTTATTGTGGCAATTGTGATCGAATCAACGCAATATTCGCCACTTTCAATGCAACATACCGAAACAAAACAAACTACGCAAGAGATTTTGTTGTAGGCAGAACGCATCGGAGTAGGATTCTATTGCATAGACACTCACTACTCAGCCCCTACTCTACACAGACCTGTGTGGCATAAACACTGCAGTAGGCCTATATGCAAATAGACCATTGCCATATATGGATCTGTGCCATTTACTTTTGAACTGGACTGTGTTTACAGCATGAGCGGTCATGAGTAGATGCGCTTGTTTTTAGATTTGACATTTTTTACATTTTAGTCATTTAGCAGACGCTCTTATCCAGAGCGACTTACAGTTAGTGAGTGCATAGATCAAAGCTCCACGTGTGCACAGTTTGTTCATATCCTTTGCTAGTTAGTGAGTTATTATCCCAGTTATAGATCATTTGTAGTCAGCAATAGGGGAGTGGTTGCTTCCTACAAGAGCACAAAAATGTGTACACTTCTAGACATCTTTGAAAAGCGAGTCAGGTAAAGAGCTTTTTTTTTTTGTCTTAAAGGGACAGTGTTGTATTTTGAGACAGGCTTGAATAAGCTAAGTAGCCAATAGGCAGAGGGTAGGATAATTTGTCTGATTCTCTGTAATAAAGGTATGGGAATAATAAGTGCATTTTATTTTGTAAAGTGGTTTCTTGCATCAAATGGATAAACAGGTTAATGAGGTTAATGTCAAGCCCTGCATGTTTTCTTTCAAACTTATTCTACCCGCTTGGCATTTTTCCTATTTTGTTGCCTTAGAACCTGGAATTAAAATGGATTTTTGGGGGGTTTGTATCATTTGATTTATACCACTTTGAAGATGCAAAATAGAAATAAGACAAAAAAACTGAAAATTTGAGCGTGCATAACTATTCACCCCTCCAAAGTCAATACTTTGTAGAACCACCTTTTGCAACAATTACAGCTGCAAGTCTCTTGGGGTATGTCTCTATAAGCTTGGCACATCTAGCCACTGGGATTTCTGCCCATTCTTCAAGGAAAAACTGCTCCAGCTCTTTCAAGTTGGAAGGTTCCGCTGGTGTACAGCAATCTTTAAGTCATACCACAGATTCTCAATTGGATTGAGGTCTGGGCTTTGACTAGGCCATTCCAAGACATTTAAATGTTTCCCCTTAAACCACTCGAGTGTTGCTTTAGCAGTACGCTTAGGGTCATTGTCCTGCTGAACCTCCGACCCAGTCTCAAATCTCTGGAAGACTGAAACAGGTTTCCCTCAAGAATGTCCCTGTATTTAGCATGTCTCCCACATGCCTTTTGGCGAACACCAAACGTGTTTGCTTATTTTTTTCTTTAAGCAATGGCTTTTTTCTGGCCACTCTTCCGTAAAGCCCAGCTCTGTGGAGTGTACGGCTTATAGTGGTCCTATGATCAGATACTCCAATCTCCGCTGTGGAGCTTTGCAGCTCCTTCAGGGTTATCTTTGGTCACTTTGTTGCCTCTCTGATTAATGCCCTACTTGCCTGGTCTGTGAGTTTTGGTGGGCGGCCCTCTCTTGGCAGGTTTGTTGTGGTGCCATATTCTTTCAATTTTTTTATAATGGATTTAATGGTGCTCCGTGGGATGTTCAAAAGTTTCTGATATTTTTTATAACCCAACCCTGATCTGTACTTCTCCACAACTTTGTCCCTGACCTGTTTGGAGAGCTCCTTGATCTTCATGGTGCCGCTTGCTTGGTGGTGCCCCTTGCTTAGTG